CAGGGGATCAAAGTGGACCACTATTCAACGAAAACGATGTTGCAAACATGATGATGAATCCGGATTTACAGTGGCCAGATCTAGCGCTACAAGTGACAGAAGAAATGATGGAAAATATTGTGGAAAATAATTTAGCTCACAATTGCAAGACCGATAGATTTTTACTTTTAGGGAGATTCCAACATCTGCTGTGAAGTGGACGATCACGTCCCCGAGATTGAAAGGTCTGTTCAGACCATGAAAACGACAGTCGGTCAACATGCCATGCAATGCCATATTTGTGCTACCCGAGAATGATGGTACGAGCCATCATCAAGACTGGAGTTGTTTTCTCAACGCTTTTGGATCCGCCGAACGAAGTACGAATAAGCTCTCGGCTCGAAACATTATTGAAAATCTCCCACACGTTGACCACAATCATCTGAAATACGAGTGCGGCGAGTATGTTCAATTGCACGTGACTGAAAAAGTAACGAATACGATGAAAAGTCGGACCATTGGAGCGATAGTTTTGGACCCAAGAAATCTGACTGGACGATACAACTTCATGTCTCTGGAAACCGGAAGAGAAATCAATGGGCGAGTGACAACGGCGATGCCTAATATCACTGACGACGTGATCAAGCGAGTAGAAGAACTCGGACTTGAACAACAGCAGCCGTATCGAGAATCGAAAATGCTGAAGTATGAATGGCGACCAGGACAACCGATCACCGCGGATGACATCGTTGCACCTGCTGATGCAGCACAAGAGCCGCTCATCTTGCCTGAACCTATCGTCATAAATCTACCAAATGATGGGCCCAATCCTTTCGTACCTATTGATGTGGATGATCTGCCAGGAGCGGATGAAATTGAGACAGAACTACCGGACAATCAAGAGGAACAAGGGGGGAAACTCAAGGAGCGCAAGGAGCGGAAATTCAAGGAGCGCAAGTCGAAGCACTGGTCGAAGCTCAAGGAGCGCAGAACGGCAACCAAGAGCAACCACAAGACGTGATAGAAGAAAATGATGAAAACGAAGATGACGATTTCTCGGCAGAAGTGGATGTGACTGACGATGAAACGGAAGATGAACCTGATGCCGACGATTTGGGAGATACCGAAGAGGACGTGGCAACAGCGGACAAGACGGAGGACAGGGACCAAACAGTAGTAGTGGCAGCCAGTAATCCGGAGGACAAAGAACGAAGAGGAGGCCATCTTGACACGAACGAAGGAGAAGACTTCGGAAGAGGATTCGAAAGAGAGAAAGAAAACCCGCTGAAAAGTATTCAGCATTGCAAAAAACAGAGATCAAGAAGACCTCTGGAAAGGTAAAGGGAAAGGTGAACAGCTTTCAGAGGAGAAAAAGAGCCGCTCACAATAAGAAAAGAAATAAGACTAGCAAAAGTTTGATCACAAAAAGATCGGCAAATAAGAAGAAGGCCAAAAGGAAAAAGATTTCCTTTTCGTTTTTGAACAAGAGGTTCGAAGATTTGGAAAAGGAAGAAAAGGTGGATTTCTTCACTTGTGCATGGGAGGAACACCAGCTCACCGGAAAGACACACCTGTTGGAGCGATATACCACCGGACTTGCGTTTGCCCAAATGTCTGCCAAGCAGGGCATCAAGAAGTACGACAAAGAAGCAGAACTGAAGCTAATTGCCGAGTTCGCACAGCTACTAGGGTTCCAAGTTTTCCACGGAGTTAAAGCAGACGGACCCGACGGCATCTCTTTTGAAGAAAAGAGAGGAGCCGGAGACATGATTAATTTTATTGAGGAAAAGATCAATAGGGGACACACCGATGAGAATCCAGTGCTAAGAGCTAGGAGCGTTTTCAACGGTCGAGTGCAGCGGGGAATCTACACCAAGGATAAGACAGCTTCTCCTACTGTGGATCAAGATTCACTTTTCATCACCTGCATTGTTGGCGCGATCGAGGGAAGGTTTAAGGCCACCAGCAACGTCAGAGGAGCGTACCTAAATGCAAAGATGAAAGATCGAGTAATCATGCGCATTTTGGGACCCGAAGTCGATATCTTCTGTGATCTTGATCCCAGTCTAAGGGAATTTGTCACCGTCGTGGAGGGCAAGAAAGTCCTGTACGTACAATTGGACAGAGCATTATATGGGTGCGTAAAAAGCTCGATGCTATGGTATGAACTTTACTCGGAAACTCTCATGGATATGGGCTTTAAGCTTAATCCATACGATCTGTGCGTCGCCAACTGTGACATTGATGGAATGCAATGCACGATTTGCTGGTATGTAGACGATAACAAGATCAGCCATATGAAATTGGAGGTCGTAAAGGATATCATCGGGAAGATTGAAGCCAAGTTCGGCAAGATGACGAACAAGTTCGGCAAAGAGCACGAGTTTTTGGGAATGAAGATAACATACAAAGACGGCAAGGTGGAGATCAGCATGAAGAAACACATTCAAAAGGCGATCGATATGTTTATGGATGGTATCAATAGAGAGGCAACTTCGCCTGCCAAGGCCTATCTTTTTGATGTGAGAGAAGCTGCGAAAGATTTGAACGAGGAAAGGGCTGACAATTTTCACAGCGTAACAGCGTCACTTTTGTATGTCTCAAGACGATGCCGTCTAGACATTCAAACCGCCATCGGTTACTTGTGCACTAGAGTAGGATTCCCAGATGAAGACGATTGGGTCAAGCTCAAGAGAGTCTTGCAGTATCTGAAAGGATCGATAGATTTAACGAGAATCATTGGTGGAGACAACATCAGAAGAATGCAAGCATGGGTGGATGTTTCGTATGGAATCCACGACGACTGCAAAAGTCACACTGGAGGATGCATCTCTTTCGGCTGGGGGGTGATTTCGACCA